ATTGGGAACCAGAAGCTATAGAACTGCCAAACCCTCCATCTTACTGTCATGTTCCCTCATCACATTTTCCTTCTGATGCCATACCCCTCACGCAGCCCACGCCCGTCTCTGTTGCTTGCCTTTAACACCCACTCTGCTCAAGAATAGCTTGATTCAAGTGAGGCTCCCTGTTTGCCTTGGTTGACTGCAACCTCTTGCAAATTCTCTAATTGTTGAAACTGTTGTTCTCCACTTGCTGACCACTGAAATTAATTATTTTCTAAAAAATATTACAAGTGTTTAATGGCATACATTAATCTAACCACCAGTAATCAAAAATGCAATTACCATGCAACAACTTCGAGTCATAACCAGCAATTGGAAACAGATACAAATTAGGATGATATTGTAAAAATATAAGCACCATATTTAAACTGACCTTTCATCTAATCCAGCCTAAAGTTGCTTCAATTCTTTAAGCATGCTGACTGCTTCATCCATCGGCTTTTCAAAGGTGCTTCTGACCGTTTCCACATTCCATTGCAGCCAGTTTAAAAGCGAGTACATTTGTCTACATTCAACTGTAAAATCACACAAAATAATAATCCAACGCTCATCTTATTACTACTCCCCTGCATTCACTGATGTGAAAAAAGAATGGCACTATCCTTAACTCTTGGGGCATTCCAAATGCTCTTTTGATCTTCTGCATTTCCTATCAAATCTAGCTTCAGTGTTTCCGAGAAAACTCCAGGGTCCATGAGCATTTATTCTCATTTATGGTCCGGGTGATTGAATCCTTATTTGAAGGATAGCAGATTTGAAGACGAAGAATTGAACTCATCCTTGGCCCGACAGTCTGACGAAGAGATAATCTTTGCAATATGTAGCTTCCATTTAGCTCCAGAATGGCCTTGAGAAGCTTTCAAGAACTTCGGAAACATAATACCTAATATCCCTTACATCTGTCTGCTTTCATTCAACAAAAACTGCATCTTGACACCCTAAATCTGAACAATTTCCCCCCAACAACTCCACAATTAACAGTGATTCCTGATCACTTTTAAAGGCTTTCGGCCATCACATTACACTCAGAGAATTAGAGCCGCCCATCTTCTGCGAAGGATCAAAAATTCCCAGCAGTTTGTGTTGTAAATATTGTCCCTGCCGACAAGCCAAGAGCAAATGTTCATAGTTCCCAAAATTCAATATGAGCAAACACCTATTACAACCATCTCAAAACCACAAATGATGAATGTTTTTTCGCACCTGTGATAGAGCTTTTGATCCATTCCATTGTTCCTCTCATGTAAGGAACTGCGGAACAATGTGGACAACAATCAGAAGTACATGTCTCAAGCTTGTTGCACTCATCTATGCGTTGAAGCGTGGTTGGTGTCCCCTCTGGTAGATACAGCCAATCCACAAAAGATGATGTGTGAGTCTACAGATATACCCTTGCTCTTGGATCGCTAGACAACATAATCAAAAAAAAAACCGCTCAATAACATACCAGAAAATTACGAAGGTGATATATCTATCCGTATGCCTCCAGTGGCACATAATATCTTTCAAGCTCCAAGAACTTTCTGGAACAATTCTGTTATTGCATAATCCCATATTCCCAGAGAGGCTCTCTCACAAATTCCTTCCCATGGTGTATTTCATTAAACTTTTGCAACCTTCTCCAATCACCTTCATTAATTCGGCTTACCACCCCACGAATTCTAACTACCACACTATCCAATCTTCCCATTAAGAATAACTGACTTCTCAAGCCAAATTTTGAAAAATACACTTCTATTATATTCCTACAAGTACTCAGTTCCTCTCAAAGAAATCAAGTTCCCTTCAACTGCTTCTCGCCAGTCGAGGGAATATAAGTCAAAGAATTGCTTCGTTGATAGTTCAATCAAAATTTTGTAGTGCCTAGTATCATAATCTGGTGTGAGCAAACATTTGGAATCAAAAGAGCTATTTGAAACTTCATAGATGTAAGTAGAATTTCTAACTTGCAGAACACGGATGAGATGAATCTCACATGAACTGCTTCGAATAAGCATCTAGCAGTTTTCAACACCGTATCATGAACCAACAAAAAGTAACTCCTGAACTCCAATAATCCGAGCACGAGACAAAGCTTGCTGACATCAGTTGCAACCAACTTCATCGCTCGTTGGAGCACATCTTTGGTCTCCACCTCCTAATCCACATCTGCATCGTGGTTTCAAGCAGAAAGAGACTTGTACCAAGATTGCTGATATTGCTTCCTACACTAAGGTAGTTCAAGCAGAAGTCACCCACCATAACGTCTGCAGTTTCTAACATCTCGTGGTTTGCTAGAGGCTCAACGCATACTTCATATCGGTGTCCGCAATCTATTCTTTCCATATTCCAAAGTAGGACAAGGGTCGCAAACCGAAACCATTGTTTCTCATGTAATGGATGCTGAGTCTGTCTTCACTACTGCCTTGGATCAGAAAACTATTCGTCTTGCCACCAACTCGTCAGAGGTACTTAAATGAAGAGAAATCCAAATGGTCGGAATAGAAGTTTACCTCTGATACCTCTGTGGGTCCCTCTTGAAGCATTAATTGATGACTCACATGTAATAGTTGCACTGCTCATACTGATAAATGTCAGCTTCATTTGAACAAATTCAGAAAAAAGGGTCGAGTCATTCTGGCCGCTACAGTGACGTTGCGTTTCCCAAAAGCTCCTCTTTCCTCTAAACGTGCCTTCAAAGAGCCAGACCTTTGCTCCCCGAGTGACCATAAGGTGATGTAAAACACGTATGAAGTATATAGTGCAGATGTCTTCTTATAACTTCCCACCTTCTGTACACATCAGCTGACAGGGAATCGCTCTACTCATTTTTTGCATATTTGCTAGCATCCCAGTTTCCCACTCATCTTCCACCATAGAAGTTCAATCAAGCAATCAACGACTTCAAAAATTACGTTGTCAAATCCCTGAATGAAACTTTCACAATATTCATCATAGATTTTGCTATCTTGAGCTCATTTATGAAAGCGCACCCTCTCCAAAAGTCCCCCCTTGTTACATTTTTTCATTTTTTCACTCATTCTTTGACAGTGACCGACATCGGTACTGCATGTTGTTTCCATAAATGGATGTATTGCGCTCCAACACAAAAAGCTTTCCTTTGGATCAAACATTCAAGCTCCGTTGCAAATCCATGATGAAAAATCTTTCACAAATTCATCAATGGAAATTGCTTATCTTTGAGCCATGAAGATGAAAAGCGCACCTCTCTATAAAGTCTTGTTCAATTCTGTTCATTTCTTCACTTCTTTGGACAACACCACCCTCTGTCCTGACATGTTGTTTCCAGGACTGGCATGTATTGCCATCCCACCTCAAAAAATCTTCCTTTGAGCAACATTCAAAAAGCTCCGGTTCAAATCCAATGAATGAAAAGCTGTCACCAATTTCATCCTGGATTTTGCGATCATTTGAGCTCATGAAGATGAAAAGCGCACCTCTCTAGAAGGTCCGTGTTCAATTTCGTTCATTTCTTCCACTTCTTTGTACCACACAACATCTGGTACTGACATGTTGTTCCTTCCGGATGGATGTATTGCAATCCAAACACAAAAAGCTTCCCTTTGGAGCCAACATTCAAAAGCTCGTTCAAATCCCTGAATGAAAAGCTTTCCAACTTTCATACATAGATTTGCTATCTTTAAGCTCACCGATGATGAAAAGCACTCCTCTCCAGAAATTCTTGTTCAATTTTATTCATTTCTTCACTTCTTTGTGACAGCACCAACATCTGTCTGGCATGTTGTTTCCATATAGGATGTATTCCAATTCCAACATCAAAAGCTTTACTTTTGGAGAGGCAAACATTCAAACAGTTACGGTTCAATCCACTAATGAAAGCCTTTCACAATTTCATCCATGGATTTGCTATCTTTGATCTCATGATGATGAAAGCCGCATCTCTCCAAAGTCTTGTCCATTGTTCCGTTCGTTCTTCACTTCTTTCGGAAAGTACCAACCATCTGTACTGGCATGTTTTTCCAGTATGGATGTATGTCAATTCCAAACAGAAAAAGCTTTACTTTGGAGCAAACATTCAAAAAGTTACGTTTCAAATCCCAGCTGAATGAAGCTTTCACACATTTCATCATGGATTTGCTATCTTTAGCTTATGATGGAATTGAAAAAGCGCATCTCTCCAGAAAGTCTTGTTCATTTTGGTCTTTCCTCACCTCTTTGGAAAGTTACCAACATCTTAACTGCTGTTGTTTCCAGTAATGGATGACTGCAATCCACAGTCTGAAAAGCTTTCCTTCAAAAGCAAACAGTCAAACAAAAAATCTAGAACAATTGCCGTTGGCATACACCTCTATCGCCAGCTCATAGCATCCTGCAAGCACGAACATTCCCCCGCCCTTTTCAGCTCTGGTTCCTCACATTTTTCCCAAATAAATCCTACCTTCAGCGAACAAAATTGAGTCTTACATCAATTTAGTGAACCTGCAAAGTGAACAATATCATATCTAGCACTTTTCTTCGCCATTGACTACTATAACAAGGCAAACAAGTTCCTGAGAAAAAAAAAAACAATTAGTATGGAAAATTTATTGCAATAGTCCCACACTCTGAAAAACTGAAATAGATATCCAGTCACTTTTGAGCGTTCATCTTGGTGCAGAAATGGACCTAGCGCAAAGAAAGCTTTCTAAACTCATTCAACAACCTTCTGATAAACTGCAACAATTTTACAGTAGATGCATACCAAAACTTCTTATAAAACAACAACTGCATCGGAGAACGTCTTGAACAAGAACTCTATGTCTAATATCAACATAATATGCGTACATATCAATTCCTGAAGTCACAAAATATCATCAACAAAAAATAAGATCGGAGAAACTTCTGAGATGATATCCAAATTCACAGTAACGTAATAAATACAGAAGTATATCCATAAACTGCAGCCATAAGACAGCAATTATATTCCTCAAAATTAATCAATATCCTATTCATACCTGCTCTTTCATACTCTCCCAGCTCATAAAAACATTTTGGCAGCAGAATTGGCCTTGTGTATAGGCTTCAAATTTAATAGCAGCTTGGCCTTAGTTTATTATTGCCTCTTCAAGGGTTCAAACTGCGGATACGTTCAGCATCAGCTTTAAGGGCCGTAAGCTTTACACCTTTCTTCCCAGTAAAAAATCCTTTAGCTTCTTTTTCGAGCATTTAGCTTGCCATTTCAATAGTTACCTCATGAAACACCAGCCTTTTGGGTTGGAAAAGGTTTAAAAAAACCAATAATTTGTCAAAAGAGAAAAAAGAATATTATATCCACCAGAAAAGTAAGTGGCTTCCTAACTTGTACACACTCCTACCATCCAACAAAATATTATGTCAAATGGCTCAAGAGCTGAGATTTTTGAAGCAGCGTATTGACGCAGATCTAAATTGAATGTGAAATGGCTCAGCTAGGAAAAGGGTACCATAATTGGAGACATGAAATGAAAATAAATACTGTTAGCAGTAGTGCAATAGCACAACGTATTCCAGAATATGTCATGTCAAATAAAAAAGGTTTCAACAATTTTAAAGCATGGCATTAACAGTATAAACAACGATGACATAACAGCTTGGGAAAACTAAAAAGAGCCTTGATGCCCGCGATTTCCCCTCTTCGGGGGTACTCGCAACTTGCATGCATGTGCAAATGATCTCCAGCTTTTTACTTCACAAGACTTCTTCTTCCAATAGTCAAACATAGGTTTGTTGGAGACTTCCTCCCCTATCCTCCCTATCCTCCCAGATCCATAACCTTTGCCTTGTACGAGTGATGGCGACATACAGTTGCTTCAGTTCAGCACACAAGATGTTATGTTTAGCTTCATTGAAGCTCGGGAAGGACCTAGGTGACGTGGAGTCAAGCAAATTTTGTTCCTTCATATATTCATAAATCACTCTCCATTGATTCTTAAGATGTGGTGAACCAAAAAAATTGTATAACAGTACATCCTACGAAAGAAATAATACAAGTCATTAATGAAAAAAATTTAAGACTCATAGAAGTTACTGAAGAATAGAATAAGGACTTGGATAAATCAATTGAAATCTTTCCAGACCAATCAATTTAGGGGGTTTTAGCAACCAAATCCCATCCTCATAAACTTTGAGGAGGGGATTTGATTCTAGATAGAAGTTCAATCTTATGTTTAACTAGGAATAGTTGCCAGGAGTTGAAATCTTATATTATTACCTGCATATGACTTCTTACACTGTCCACGCGAAGATGAAATTAAATGACAATTAAAGGAAATAGTCTGAAACTTTCAAGTTTTAACTAGATCACAAATGACCATTTCAGTAATAAGATCAAAATTTATTGTAAGAGTACTTAAGGGCATAGCATGAAGAATGGTATATTAAAAGCAAAACTCTTTGTTTATTACTCCAATAATGACAAAAGACTTTTCAATAAAAAAAGAATCACCTGAAATTCAAGGCCTTTGCTCTCTACTACGGTCAAAACAAGAGCTTGATTCCCAACATAGTCAGAAATAACCTTCCGAGCACAATCATCTCGTACTAATATCACCTGCTCCGCTCCAAAACCAACTACATTGCCGCCAACATTTCCACTCTTTCCAAAAATTTTTATGATTGCATTTTCATTGTTCCCAGATTCAAGCAAAATTGGAGATTCCCCATATATCATAGTAGTCTCAGGGTTTAAAACATCGACATAGGGATGAAAGAAACGGTAAAGAAGATCAATGATGCTCTGAGCTAACTTCAATACACCTGCATGGGTACGGAAGTTCTGGCTCAAATTAAAAATTTTTGAGAGTTGCCCTTTCTGTTCTCTGCCATCATATTCATTGCTTCTTGATTCCAGTACAAACTTCTTGTAGAACAGATGTCGTATGTCTTCAAATTTGAAGTCAATTCCCCTGGCAATTGTTTGTGCTGTATCACCAGAAAAAGCAAAACCCTCTTCCACATTTTTGCAGATATATTTGAACAGAGCAATTTGGCTCATTGTAAGATCCTGCACCTCATCGACATAAACAAAATGAATTTGATCTCTGACGTGTTTTCCTTTTTTAAGTCGATGATGAAGATCAATTACTAAATCAGCCAAATCAAAATCACCATTTTTCATCTTCATTCTCTCATAGTTTTGAAATATCTCATATATCATCTCTCTTTGTTGCCTGCTCAAAATGGAAACTCTACCCTCTGATAATTGGACATAAACTTCTCGACTCAGTTTACCGTCACCAAACTCCATGGATCGCAGGCCTCCTTTTATGTGAGATATAATCTCAGTGAAGACCCTTGAAGAATCAAACTTCTTTGTTAGTTCTCCATTAAAACGTGGCCAGTAAAATGAACTAAACCTGTCATAACTAACTTCCTTTGTCCTCATAATTGTGTATAAGGAATCTGATCTTAAACTCTGACTTTGGGCACCAGAATGTTTCCATTTGTCTCGGAATCTCTCAAAATATGAATTGCCCATTGTTCCATCCAGCATCATCAAGAACTTATGAAATGTTAAAACAAGAGGGTATGATTTAGGCGGAATGTCTACAAAAGAATTTGGGATATCTTTGAACTGCGCTGCATCATCAATATCATCCATGTCAAGGAAACTGCCTTCTGCAAGAAACTTCTCACCCAGGGCGGAGCTGCACGCATTACAAGTACTATCATTAGCCACAAACCTTAAATGAAATAAGAAAAGCAGACTGCAAGAGCTATTCTTATGGAAAACCCACAAACCTTTTCAAGTGAGAAATGTGTTGCTTTACAGCAAAACACAGTTTAGGACTGACTGTCACAAAAAGTTGGCGCAAGATATCCAGTTTCTCCTCTCCAAGGCCCTTCTCGGGCTCATTTGTCTGGGTAGTATGCAGATGCTCATGATAATCAACTCCATAGAATCCTTTAGTTGCCATGTGATGTAGTTTTGCTTTCTGAAATAATTTCATGGTCAACACAGTAGTTTTCCCTGTACCTGACCGACCAAGTATGAAGGTGCTTCTGGGAAAAAGAATCATCTCCAACTGTTCGTCTGTTACTTCAAATGGAAGATCCAATTCTCTTCCATCACGGTCGGAAAGTAGGTGGTTCACTACACCTGATGATAAAGAGTAGAATTTCATCAACAACAAACTATCAATCACCTTCGAATTCTCAACATAACTCATACTGTCTGAAGCAACTCCCCTTAAGTCACTTCCACTCTTACTATCAGCAAGATTCTTGAAACGAACAATTTCTAAAGAGGCTGCCCAAGTCTTGGGAACTTCCAAATTCCTAGTCGGAAACAAAATAATAAACAAAACCAAATGAAATGTTTGCCAGTCAATATAAGAGGAAACAAATATATTTCTTCAACAGAATTGAAAAGAGTAGACATACCCTTCAATTTTTTTCTCTTTGCAACGATTGATGTAATCATCAGTGTACCTAACAAATATATCATCCAAACGTTTTACCAATTTTGAAACATCCTCCAAAGGCAATATATCCCAGACTTTCAGAACTTGCTTGTAATTTGATTCCTTTACTATGTCAATTGTGCAAATTGTATAGAGACCTTCAACTTTGAATTGCTTAATAATGTGCGAAGAGCATTCACAAATAGAATCTATGTTCCTCCTTTTAGGTCGCCAGCCACTTGAAAGTTTCAGTAGAAGGTTAATAACTGATTTCTTTTCGCGGTTTGACGTCATTTTTTTAAAGGATTTCAAGAAGTTATCACTAAAAATAACCTGAGATATAAGTTAGAAAATGATCACTCACAAATATTGCACTAACCATGGTAGGAAAAGTTGCTTGGCAAAGCAAGTAAAGCTATGGAAAATATATACCTTCCAAATTTGGTTTCTGAAAAGTATACTACCAGCATCCAGCAATTTATCCAACTCATCAAGCTCTTTTTTGGCCTCTAATATAGCTTTGGCCATATCCTTATCTTCATCAGCATTAAAGAAACAACGCCGGTTCTTAGCATCGTGGATTAAGATTTTCCAAACAAATTCACCATGAGTTAAGGTTCTTTCATTCCCCAAAATCCATAAACAGTGCCTAGAGCAGGGGACAGTAGTTATTCACCATAGTTAGTAAAATGAACCAAACACAATGAACAACATTTACATATATACCTAGCCCTTGTAAGCGCGACGTTGATTCTCTGTGGCTTGGACAAGAATCCAATGGATCCACTCCTGTTACTTCTCACAGTGGAAATTATAATAACGTCCTCCTCTCCTCCTTGAAACCCATCAATTGACTTCACTTTTACAGTAAAGCCGTCACTGTTCTCATACTTGCCTCCAAGTTTTTCTTGAATTGCTCCCACTTGAGCACTGTAAGGTGAGACTATGCCAATGCTCAGCTTCTGTTTTGAGCCCTTCCAATCTGCATATTATGAATTACCATGGATATAAAAAGGAGATTCAATAGTACACCCAGCATATCAACCAAAAGGACAAAATCAAAATAAGAAAGAAAAACAATGCTGGACTTCAAGGACCAGTCCTCCTAATTGCTAACCGAGGGTCAGCTCCTCCCAAATTTCTTATATTCTTCCCCCCTCTAATCTGGTCTCCCCTTCTTTTATCCCCCAGCTCTTCTGTGTCCCTAACTGAATTCCTTTGCTGTCCCAACCCCAAAGCCACCTATCCCAGCCTAAACCCATGGAGTTTCTGCCAACAACCCCTCAATCCACTACTTGCTACTTGTTTCACTTTTCCTACACTCATTACCAGGTTCATCAATCAATAAATTACATTATTAGAAGTTATATAAGATACTTCCCATCATGTATATTCTGTAGCTAACAAAAAAATAATGAATAAAAGGCTAATTAATTAATTACAAGGTAACAGTTGCTGAAAAACACAATCATAAGTCCATAAACTGTAGACAAATGAAACCAGTAATGCGTATCTCAAAAGGAAATATGAATTAAATTAATCACATGCTATGAATAAGCTGCGAATGACAATAGAAAATCAATCAAGTTTTAGATGGTAATAAAAATGTGAGACTCCAAAAACGCATACTTTGTACAGGTTCCGCCATATTTTCATACAACTGCTACCTCAACCATATTTCTCAAGCTATAGTTGATGAACTCTTCTCTCCCCCCAAATATGTTGATGAAAGAAATAGGACCAAACATTTGATCCTGGCAAAAAGACTTTTCATAGCTTTTTCTTTTAACATCCGGGGAATCTAAAATCTGGTTGTTATAGAAATATGAATTCGGGAAGTAGCTGATTGGGGTGCATTCGATACTGCATATTGAGCAGGTGTCTAGAGAAACCCAATGAGCTCAACCTTCAAATAAACTTCTCCGCGAAACCAGCTTCATCAGAAACCTGAAAACAAAGACGAGGAAATTAGGGAAAACTAAAAAGAGAAGCAAATGCCAAATACATAGATCCGTAGAACTGTTGAAACAACATCAAACATACATTGCTTGAACCATTGCTGGCAATTGGCACTCATCCCCAATGAGAATAGATGCTTTAAGCCCAGGAGTTGCACGGTATTGTCGATTCACTTTCTTTTAGTTGTGCCGCTTCATCAATGACAGAATGTTCAGTGGTTCATGGCCACTGATGCAGCTTAAATGAACTAGAAGCAGTGCAGAATATTACTGAAGTGTTTTAAAACAGAAATCTTTTAATGAGTCTGTGTCCATAGCACTGGAAGCCCAAGTTTGCTAAAGGAATCCTGAAGAATTCTTAAAACAGTGTGACATTCACCCCTCTTCTTGTGCAACAAGTAGTTTTATGCCCTGATGACGAAGAAAAATGTGCAGCTACTGAATGTGAAAAGAGCTCTTCTAGCTCCTCGGAACTACACTGTCTTGAAACATAAAGTTTCAAAAGAATCAAGTAAAGTGATCAGGGCTACCATGTTTGAAAATTATTTCAAATGAAACTTTTGGATATATGAGTACAGAGGATTATATACAATTCCTAAGAAGAGTGGCAGTATGGTTAAATCTTTCTCTCACATATTCAAGAAATGACTTGAACTCCTCTTTAGACTCCTCTTTGATTTCATCTTCATTACTATTTTCTTTTCCTTCATCAATTCATTTTCCCAGAAAATGTGATACTGGGAACAACAATCTTCAAGTAAATCATCATGGAAGTAAAGCAATGCCTCCATCCAGTTTGCATATCAAAACACTCTGAAAGCCTTTTACACGATAATCCAAATATATTTCTTGTATTTTCATCAACTTTGAGCCTCTCCTTACTCCAAACAAGAGAATGTCTCCAAGAGGAAACAACAGAGTGCCTCTTCCATAGCTGTCCGTTTTAATAGTTTCTTTCAGCAGCTTTAGAACACGGGAGGCCACTTCTTTAATTGCAACATTTGTTGGGGCACAAGTAAGGGTTCTGCATTTCATTCTTAACAGTGTAAAGGAAGCATACTAACAGCTTTAGTTTTGCCTGTCCCAGGGGGACCCCATATCAGTTGCACAGACGACTTGTGATCACAATGCACACTATCAAGACAGGCAAGAACCGCCCTTAGTTGAGAATCATTCATGTCGATGATAATCTGAGACCAAATTTCTCATTCCAGATGCCCCCATTCTGCTCAGAACAGACTTGGCAAGTTTCCTCCAACTGTCATTCAACATGCAAGTTTCAATGAAAACACCACAATTTATGTCAGCAAGCGAAAAAGTAAATCATCTTCAGGAAACTTACCACGAATCAGTGCAAGAACTTCTTGATAATCTTCAAATTTCGCGACATATGCAATGATTCATATTCTTATGTTAGGAGTTATATTACCAAGAAAATTACAAATAATGATTTTCCCCCATCATCGCTTGGATGCTCTGAGGGCTTGACTGTAAAATAGGTAGAAATGCGCATCTCGTTCTCGTTTTCATCCTCTAAATTTCATGACGATAGAAAAGACCACGTTCACCCACCCTTTCCAAGTCGGAAATAGTTTCAGGTTTCGCGTCAGCCAAATCAAAATATCCATGGCAAAGTTTATAAGGCTCTTTACCAATGTTACGAATCTGTTCCTCCATAATCAACCTTAACGTACATATCTCTGCTCCATGTGGCTTGGACTCATCCAATGCGACCACTTCAGCATAAGGTGCTGTTGAATAGTCTCCATCCTGAAAACAATTGTGCTCGTGTTCTTCATAAAGGATAAACAAATGACCCAAAATAGTGTTCGACTGATTCAAATGATTCAGGAATTTGTTCCACCTAAAAGAAATAAAAAAAATTACTCAATTTAGTAATAGAATATTAAATGGACTTGATTACCAATGAAAGCACTTGAAGGTAAAGAGAAGCCTATCTGAAACTTTTTAGTCAATGAGATCATCAATTGAAAAAAGATGAAAAAATACATAAATACTTCTATTGTAAACTGCAGTGCCTACTAAGTGAGGAATAACCAAAAGATTGCACAGGGTTAAAACAACAGCTTGTCAATTAAGGTAAATAAGTCATGACTATTAAACAACTATTATAGCTTTGCTTTAAGCTGGGAAACACAAGCACAAGCCATAGTTACAAACTTAATTAAACACATAAGATATGCTATATATAAATTTTTTTCATCTTCAATTCTATCCAATCCATCCCCCTTTTTTTTTTTTTTTTTTTTTTTTGGTTGTTTACAGTAAACTGCTAATAAGAAAATAATTAGCTCCATTCGTTGAATTTTTTTTTTTTTTTCTATGAAACTTTGGTAACAGGTAATCTTCTCCAACCTCTTCCAAAATTGGAATAAGCAAAACAAGTATACCCTCTCTAGCTAATTTAATAAAATTCACTAACAATATATATATTACACTATATAATATATACAAGAGTCACAAACATTACTCCATTTTCATAGACAACTGAACATTACAGAAAAGGGAAACCCTGAAGTGAACATAACAATTAAAATACCAAACAAACATAAACATTAAACAATAGCCCATTTGCCATTTTCATTAAACAAAAGGTACATATATTCCGAGGTTACCGAATCCCAAATTACTACTGGTTGCATTATTCCCTATTCCCAACCTTAATCTCACACCATTTCCTTTACTGTAAAAGTATTTTAAAAGTTGAAGGGTAAAAGCGTCAAAACCCATTTCTCTCAACTCACCACCGTTGATGCCCCCTCCCCTCTTATTCTTGTTCGTCTCTCACATTCTAACACAGAACTTTTTTTTTTTTCACCAATTCTTCCTCTTCTCTTCATCTCTTTTCCTTCTCTTTCTTCTTCGCCTCTCTTACCAGTTCTTCCTCTCTTTCTTCTCCTCTTTTCCTTCTTCCCAGATTCTTCCTCTCTCTTCTTTAGTCTTTCTTCTTCTTTCTTTTCTCTTCTCTTAACAGCTGCTTCCCACGCCATCCACAAAAACCCCGATACCATCTGGCCGCTCCGCGCCGTCACCCAAAATCTCTCTCTATCGCGCCGAGCGACCCCACGCGCGACCTGACAGCCCCGAAACGTCGCACACTGCCACCCTAAGCCTACCGGTCGAACCCCGCCGCCAGCCGCCTATCGCGCGCCCCCTGCAGCTCTGTTGCTTTGATTTTTTATTGAATCAGAGTTTGATTTAGTGGGTTGTGTAATTGAATCGGAATTTGGTTGAATTTGATTTCAGTTTGGTAGTGCAATTTGTTTCTGACTGTTTGGTTGAATTGTGATTTCCGGGGTTGGGTGAGAAAATCCGGCAGGGATCAACGGAAAACGGGATGATTGTGAGTTGAGAAATGGTTTTGACGCTTTTACCCTTCAACTTTTAAAAATGACAAAATTTTTAACTGGCTTACCCTCAGAATCTACAGGTAAATATAAAATAAGACTGGTATTAGAAAATGAAGAAGAAAGAAGAAAGCAAACCTCATGACTGAAAAGATTTTGATTAGAAATGTCATCCAGAGACCAAGAAAAGAGAGTTTGAGTGAAACCATAGTCATGATTTGGAACTCCTTCTTCTTCCTGCTGCATAACTCCACTTCCATCATCATATTCATTAATTCTTCTTCTGAAAATTACAGTTAAATGAAGTTTCCCTTAATGAAGACAAGCTATTAGCTTACTTCAGTAGGAAGAAATCAAAGGCATTGAGAAAACAAGGACATTTAACTTTGCTTTTTCCTTTGGGAACACCTTTTTAAAGTTAGATTAAAGAGACCCAAAGTTAATTTGGACATAATTAATTCGATTTTGACATGTTCATATTCCAACAATGAAAATATGAACAGTTAAAAATTTGATTAAAATAATTGTTCTTTATTTATCTTTTATATTTTACCAGTATTTTAATTTTTCATGTTTTTAAATATCATTTTCAGATAATTATATCGAAGTATTTTTATTTTTTATGTCCCTTAACATTTTTCAACAAAACACAAATTTCATTAAAAAAAAAAAAAAAAGATACCCTATATTTTTTAGTTTGAATGATCTTTTTATCTTTAATTAAAAACAATAAAAGCAAACTTTTAGAAAGAGAGAAAAGTTTTGATTTATCGAAAAGAAAAAAGAAGAGAAAAAGATAAGATAATGTGGGAAAATGTTCTTCTGTGGACCCAAGTCCTGTCAGCTGTTTCCAAGTCTTCGTATTAGTTACTAGTAATTACTAAGGATATTCAATTGACCCCCTAATGTTTTAAATATCATTTTAAACCCAACTGATTTTAGTACTATATTGTCACACTAATACTCTCAATTATAATCTAATGTCATTTTAGGGAAAATAACATGTTCTCACCGAAGTTTGCCTGAATAAACCTTTCCAGCCCAAGGTTTCAAAATGACAGTTTGCACACCATCCATCCAATTTTTTGGTTAATTTTAACTGCATAAAGATAATAGTAAATTCAGTTTATTTATTTTTTATTTTCTTTTAAAAATTTTGATAACCAGCCGCCAGCAACTATTCTCCACCACCAGCACATAATCCGCGCCAAAATCATCCAATCGGCAACCCACGACCTCCAATCAACCCAAACAGGTGGCAATCGGCAAAGGCGCATGGAAGCAGCGGTTGGAAGGGGCAGTTGAGGTCGCGCAGAGAGGGCGCAAACAAGGGAGTAGCGCGGCGAGGGGCTTGACGGCGATCGATGGAAGCTTGGCAGCGGCTAGGTTGTCACGCGAGTAGCAGCCGAGCGCGATCGGCCGTGCTCACCAAATCGCGATTGCGCCTTGACGCAGTGAGAAAGAAGCGGTGCCAGAAGAAGCCTCACGAAGGCGACGAGCAGGAAGCACGGAGCCGCGCTACAGGAGACCTCCAGGCGCGCGGAGAGCATGGGGCGCAGCCCACCAGAGGGTGGGCTAGTAGTCAGGTGAGGGTGGGAGTGAGATGCGGTCAGGGGATGTCAGAAAGTGGCCAGAAATGGCCGGCAGCGGCGCCCCCCAATTCAACCGGTCGTGAGAATTTTTAGGGTTTAAGAAAATGACATAATTATTCTTTTATTGTTTTTAAAATTATAATTTTGTCCTTATGCAGTTAAAATTAACGGAAAAATTAGATGAGTGGGTAGAAAAATGTCGTTTTGAAACGTTTCGGTGGAAAATTGTCATTAGGGCAAACTTTGGATGGGAACCAGTCGTTTCCCCTCACATATTATAACTGATAAGGTAAGTAGTATCGTCTGTTCAAGATGATAACCCAGAACAGAAACAGATCGACTCACTCTCTGAAATCCAAACACGCTTTTTCAAAGAATCGAGTAAAATTCAAAGCCCACCTTGGAATTTGATCCCCATTTCATGTACCTAATCTTCCTCATAATGTTAAGCATATCCACGATGAGCCTTATCCATACTATAATAATGAATATATACCTCATCAATGAGCCCATTCCAAAGTTTGACTGGCAGTTATGACCTAATAGAATCCGCCCCCACCTCCTGATTTTCCCAACCACCTTTCGACAAAGCTGTGAACTCTACTTCTTCTGTTACATATATAATTAAATCACATAGCTAGGTTTTTCTATTATTTGTCTGTGTTATTTCTTAGCTCTATCTGAAAAACCCTCTAAAGAAAAGATGGCTGAGGTGCTTTTAGCAGGAGAAGGAAGTGATAAGAAGGTGATGCTGGCGATTGATGAGAGTGAGTACAGTCACTATGCACTCATGTGGGTTCTTGACAATCTCAAGGATTCGATCAACAAGGGTCAGTTTATTATCTTCATGGCGCAGCAGCCACCCAATTATAACTACACCTTCGCGGCATCTCTTGGTTCTGCTCGCATGTACTGCCCTACTGTAGCCAGTTAAGTCTTCCGACTTAATTGCCTGTTTTAGTTCACTGTTTGTTCGTATAATTAACTGAGTGATTTTTTCTTGTGTATGTGACAGATTCGGATTTTGTGAACTCTGCTCAAGAGAATCATAGGAAGCTTGCATTGGCTTTCTTGGAGAAAGCTAGGGACATTTGTGCTAGTAAAGGGGTATGGCTATTTGTTCGGTTAATTCATTTATTATTGTTGTTTTAGTGTCTGCAGAATTAAGTTTACATTAATATGCAGGTAAAAGCAGAGTTGGTCACAGAGGTAGGGGATCCTAGAGCTGCTATATGCAGTGCAGTTGAAAAACTCAATATCAATATGCTCATTTTGGGCCAGCGTGGCCTCGGCAAAATCAAAAGGTTAACCTCTTTCTCTTGCAACTTGATTGCAGTGCAAATAATACAGATCTCGACATTGTACGTTGCTGATATTAACATGCTCATACAGGGCTTTAATAGGGAGTGTGAGCAATTACTGCATTCAATATGCAAAGTGTCCAGTTCTTGTAGTGAAGAAACCACAGGCTGCAACAGCAGATCAGAAGTGACCTACATTTCTATTTTGAAAAAATGTTGATTGATACATTATCTGCATAATATAATGTAGCGTATGACATGTGGTTCATCTTCAAGCTTTGATTCGACTTTCTATGTTCTGTAAAATGCGGTGAATGTTAAAGAATGAAAGGTGATTTCTTGTGAAAGTTTAGTTTTACTTTGTCATTTCTCTTGGTACTTTAAACTCAGATGCCCTGGAAATCATTCTTTAAGTCTAGTTTAAATTATAAGATTACAGTGGACTTCCATTCATATAAACTAATATCTCTGTATTACAGAATGATAAAATGCTTTGAACAATTATTTTTCCCATTTCTGCGAGCAATACCTGAAGCTGCTTAACATGTGATGTATCATTATATCTCCATATTTTATTAAGATTCGCCCATACTTTGACCAAACACAAATACTTGCTCATCCAAAGATACGGTTAAGAGTGGCTGCAAGTCGAACTCCACCTTGAGCTAACCGCAAATTTACGATAGGTAAACGGGAGTTGAAGTATTCATCTGAAGAATATTCTTTATATGTTACCATTCCTAGATGATGGAATGAATTATAGATGAATATGCATAACAATCTCAGAAGAATTTCTTTTTACCTTCTAGTGTTGAATCTTCGGTTACACCTTTATATGCCCAATCACAGGCTGCTTTTATACCTTCTGATGCATATCTGCACAACATAAACAATTGTAGTTATGTACAATTTATAGTACTCTAATCTCAGATTTGGAACAAAATTCTGACAATTAGGACTACTAAATTGTGTTTGAGAAACATACATATCTGGGCATGTTGTCTTGTTTAAGCTGCAGGTCTCCCATTTTTTGACTAGATCTGCCCATTTAGTCTGTAATTTGCAAATGAGGAGTAAGGGATAACAAACCATACAGGACGGTTGAAGGTGAAGACTATCAAATGAAATTAAATGAGGTACCGTAATATTCTGTTGTATTGCATCAACAAATCCATCAATATTTGAATCATAAAACCTTTCTTCAGCTGTTTCAATGATATTGCTATCCCAGACCTACACATTCTTCTAAAGTTAGTCAGAGTTTATATGCAAACAAGTAACCGCCTCATTTAGAACTTTGACAAGTAATCTCACATGGTGAAGAACTTGCTTCCTTGTGTACCAGTGGACATCAATTGTGTTTCCTCCTCTATCTGAAGTAAATCCCACATGAAGCGGCTGTGACATTGGATAAAAAAAAAAAAAAGTCATGTATGAACATTTACAGCTAGACCTTGTTTTCTTAATCATTGTCATGATCATACCTGATGAATGTCTCCCATAAAATGAGAAAGGAACAGAAGTGCTTCTGTGAGATTATCTGATAGTTAATCGAATTCGTTTCACAGAGAACAGAAATTTGTTCAGTAAAATTGTTGTAAGAGACAAAGAAAGAGAACCAAGGAGGCAAAAGTGGGGAAATTTAGATTTTGTGACAGGATTTACATTCAGATTGAGATGAAGCACCGTCGTAGCCGAGAAGCTGAGTGGTGTAATTGTTAATAGCTCCAGCAACACACCTTCCTTTCACTCCATCTTCATCCTTGCAATCCCCTGAATCAAAAATATTAGTGCAGAGCCATCAATTGAACCTTAAAAATCGGCTTTCTTACAGCATCATCATTCCAAAATCAAAACTTTATACTATATTTAAAGAATCACTTCGCCCTTAACACTTGAAAAAGAGGGAAAAAGGACTAACTGTTGTACTGGTAGGTGCAGAGTTTATCTGGGGTGTCAATGAAATGAAGAGCAGATGACCAATGATAACGAAACTTCACATTGTCTGCCCAGGAACACACACTCGCCAAGTCATTGTTTGCATACTCTGGAAGCAATTGTTTCACAGCATCTTCAGCTGCTTTACTCAAGCGAGACTGTCATAACAAAAAATATGTAACACCAAGGAAAAAGACTGAAGATATGAAGAGAAATTGAGATAGTCAGAAATTAAAAAAAATCAAAAATAAAACCTGAGCAATTTTACAGATTGTGAAATGCCCTTCAGTTCCCCAGCCATAAGTCCCTGGAAAGAGTACTAAAAGTGATAGTAAACTTAAAATCTGGTAAACCCTGCAACCCTCCATTTTCACTCTCTCTAGATAATCATATTCTGTGCCTTTGTATTAGCAGTAATTGATATATAATAAGATCTTCTGCTGATCTGATTTTGACGTGATATTATTGATGAATTAAAAAAAAAAAATTGTGGAGAAAACAGAAACAAATCTCAATCATACATTACTATTAATAAAAGATGCGAATCAGGAAAGTATCTAACTCCATTAAAATCAGCAGAAAAAGGGAAAGAAAATATAACGTTTTGGATGATGCGGTGGTGTGAACCGAGCTAATGGAATGTGACAAAACTGAAATATCAATTTTGAAAAAAGGTTGCGGCTCTGATGGATGTTTATGTTCACACTGGATTTTCATGTGTGTCAATAGCTACGTGCTTGGAAAGGAACGCAACTTGAAAAGAAGAGCAGTTTTAGGGCTAAAATGATGGTAACGTTATTCCACTTTTTAAACAGTAATATTACCTTAATTTTCTCTCACAAACGCAATGTGTCAGTTTGTAATGGGTTTCGTCTATCCAATAATGAATACCATCTGACCAAATGTGAGCGAACTAATTACGAACAGTCATATTGTGTTTGTGAGAAAAAGTTGTAAAAAGTATTTTATTCCTTTTTAAAAGGCAAACCGATTTTTTTTTTTTTTTAATCTATAATGAATATGAGAATGACATGCATGTTATTGGTCAAACACACGTCTAAAAAATTCAACATATTACATAATTCACGTACGTTTACTTCAATATTTTGAGCAGAGCGAAAGAATAATAATTTTGAAGTTCTAGAGTCATTTCAGCGTAATGCGGAGGCTCACACGGATTGTTCTTGTCCAACTTCGCGTAAAAACAGCCGCGAAGACTTCAAAATCTTAGTATAGTCAAAGTATTTGTTGACTTCTTTTTGACTTAGATTTTCTAACCTTTTTATATGACTCCATTCCCACTAAATACATTATATAATTTATATATCGATCCTCATACTTGATCTCTACCTAGTGTAAGGTCAATAATGTAAAATTACTCAGAATCAACATGTATATATTCATAACATTATTCATATACATATTCATACAATCATGGAGATTTACGAAAACGAAATAACTTAATCACTAACCTCTAGCCATAGCAATTTGTTGTTGTTGTCTTTAAAGATTACATACTATTCCAATGCACTGCAATTCTCAGAACGATGGTTTTTGAGAAATCGGAATTAATTATGTGTATTAAGAACCTATAACTGGTTCCCTTTTAAGGTACGCAGAAGTCTTTCCATCAAAGACAACTGTTGGGGAAAACTGCTCAATAGTTAAATTTTATATAAAACTAATATATAAAAGTGAATGACCAAATAGTAATTTTAGGCAGTGAATTTTAATTAATTAAAATTGTAATATTCTCTCACTCGGTCCAAACCTTTATTACACAATCCACAACATAGTAGTTTTATATTTTTTATGTTTAACTAGAAAAATAGATTTGTATGAATTATAGCGGTAAGTCCCTTTTAAACAAGTATTACCTTCCATGTATTACTATACAATTTTTCTTTTTCTAAATAAACGTTTAAATGTGGAACATTACTTTATGAACAAACCTCAAACGTTTAAAGCGGGATGTAGTCCCATTTGAACTACATGATCCTTGAATGTCTTTGGTGGCATGCCTTTTATTAGAGAATCAGCAATCATTTACTCGGTGTGTATGTGTTCAATGAGCACTTATTTGGCTTTAATGTGCTCCCTTATTGCTAAGTGCTTAATGTTGATGTGTTTACTTTGACTTCCACTCTTACTGTTCTTAGCAAAAAACACAGCAGTTGAATTGTCACAATACAATCTTATTGGCCTAGAGATTGACTCAACAACTCCAAGCCCAGAAATGAAACTTCTCAATCAAATACCTTGTGTAGTAGCCTCAAAACAGGAAACAAACTCAACTTTCATGATAGAAGTGGCAACCAAAGATTATTTGGTACTAGAGGTGGGCAGGGACCAGTCCCAAGCAGGCCTGGGCTCGGGCCCGTTTGGGACTGGTCCCTTGGTATTGATCCCAAATGGGACCAGTAGCTCATGGGCCTGGGACCGGGCCTAGGCCCATGAGCAAAATAAGGACCCAAACCGATCCTCAGGACTGGTCCTATGGGCCCAGGACTGGTCCTATGGGCCCAGGACTGGTCCCATGGGCCTGGACAATTTCTTCCCCCCCCCCCCAATATTTTTTTATATTTTGGGGCGAAACGAAACTTTATAGGGGGTTTTTAGTATTTTTTAAGGGTAGATTAGTAAGTTTTTAAAAATTTAATTAATTTTAAAAAATAATAAATTAATTTTAAAAAATAATAAATTAATTAATAGTTAATTTTAATTTTAATTTTTAACATAAATTCACGTTTCACACATTCACGCTTTACAAATAAACAATTAAATAATTTTTTTTAATTAAATTATTCATTTTCATCGTCAACAATATTTATATCTTTCAAATCAGTATTCCTAAAGAGTTCGAGTAGTTCGGGATCTTCAGGGTGCTATTGTAGTCTTCTTTCTGCATGAGTCTAATCCCGTAAACACGTTATCACTTCAATCATCTCATCGGTTAAAGAACATCTTCTGTCTTCAACAATCCGATCACTCGTTGAAAATGTTGACTCGGATGCAATTGTAGAAACCAGCACAGATAAAATGTCACATGTCATTTGCGCTACAATAGAGAATCGACTTTCATGTTGGTTCCACCACTATAGAATATCCATATCATGTTGCTTCTTCATCGTCAGATATGACAGATCCACTTGTAGGTAACGATTCAGCTCATTTGGTCCATGTATGTATGAGCTAGAGCTGCTACTTCTGCCACATTCCACATACGTCCACTTGCTCGATCCTTGATGGAGGGCTACATTAAGATCCAGATCCTCTCTCCTGAACATTCCACTTCCACTTCCACTGTACCTGTTCTCATATAAAGAAAAAAAGACTATCCAATATTTGTTTAAAGTTAGTCAAATAAGATGTATAATCATGTCCTAAACGATGGCTTATCTCAGTAATTATACAGTTAACTCCGTGTAATTTAAACCTAGGATCTAGAACAAGGCCTAATCCATATAAAAATTGAATATCTAATCAATATCTCTCATATTTTTCTTCCATCTTTGAAACAATTTCACTTAAAATGCTAATATATCTATATTGAGCAAAAGTTTTAGAAATTTGAAGTAAAATATCTAACACTAAATTAGTAGTTGGATAATAAATACCACTTAATGTATTAGTAGCATCATAAAAAATTTGAAGAAATTAATAAAAAAGTTCACAAATTGTCCAATCATCATAGCTGACAACTTCCTCTGGATGGTTCTTCCGATTGACGAAATCTGTAATTTGTTTCGCGGTAGGCAAAGCTTTTTCCAACATCAGGTAGGTGGAGTTCCAACGGATAGGCATGTCTGTACATAACTTCAAAGGTCGAATCGGTGAGTCCTCTTGCTTACAATATTTGATGTACTCATGCCATCTTTTATTGCTACCGCTGACGATAAATCTGATAGCTCTGCGCACCCTCTCCATTTTCAAATGTATAGCATCTAAACTTGCTTCAACTATCAAATTGATGATATGGTAAGCACATTTCTAGTGAAAAAATTTGCCTTCACCACGCGGATCCAATTTCTTTTCAAATAAAGAGATTGTTGCGGTGTTAGCAGCTGCATTATCAAGCGTTAGCGCTACAACTCTATCAGTTAATAAATATTCTTGCAAAACTTCAAGAATTGTAAAATAAATAGTTTTAGCACTATGTTTTTCATATAATAGTTTAAAACCTATCAATTTTTGTTGTAAACCTCAATTATGATCTAAGAAATGTACTATGACAATTAAAAAATTGGTTTTTGATCTACAAGCCCATATGTCTGATGTAAGTGCAATAGATATATTCCTAAAATTTTGAAATTCATTTTTAAGTTTATTATTTATTTTGTTATAAAGTTTTAGTATATCTCTTCTACTTGTACTTTTATTGACAGCGATATATGCTTGACAAAATGCAATTTTAACCATATAAATAAAAAAAGGATTTTCAGATAAACAAATGGGAGAGTCCGTAGCAACTATATATCTTACTATTTCCTCTCGTGCAACATGTGCATTGTATTGCCATGTTGAGAGAGTTGAGGATTGTGGATTAAAATTAGGTTGAGTTTGAATTTGTCTACCTGATCCGCTTGAAGATGCATCGAGCAACTACATTATTTAGGGGTGCTTCTTCTCCACGTGTCGTCGCATCGTCGAAGTCCCCTTCTCAGCGCCAATAATGGTTCAACAAAAATTACATATCCCACACAATTCTTCCCCCTCCCCATTTGTCTTTGGCCATTTTGATTTAGTGAAGTATCGTCATACATCGGACATGACCCTCTTTGATGGTCGGGAGGGTTGGGCTATGCTCGTGCCCGTTGACTCGCAGCTCGCATGCGTTTGGCTACACCTCATCCCGACCGAATGTGGTTGTGAAATTGTAGCTGCTTCCTCTGGAGGAAATGGTGAAAATGGATTAAAGCCTTCCATTTCTTCGATGGATGGAACGTAAAATTGATTTGGGGAAACCATTATAAATTTATGATAAAATAATAAATAATTAAAATGAAAAGAAATTAAATAATAATATGAAATTATGATGATATTGAAACATAGAAAAATAGAAAAAAAATTGTATAATATAAATAAATAATAGGAATAAATTATAAATATAAATATAAATTGAATGAGAAATTGATTGGAGATTAGGAGTAGAGAGATTGAGAGAATGAGAGATTAATTGGTGTGGAAAAAATAAAAGATTTTAGGGTTATTTATATTGGGTTGGGGAGGGGGGGTGGAATTTAAAAGAAAGTTATAATTTATATTATAACTTATAACCGTTGGCTGTGACCGTTGCCAGCCACCGGTTATTTTAAAACTTTTTTTTTTTAATAAATTTTGTAAAATTTCATTTTAGCCTTCGTATTTTATGTTTATTTTAAAATTGACAGGGGGTTTTATGTAATTTGACGGAGACTATATTGAAAAAAAATTGGGCCCAGGCCCAGGCCCTCCTCCTTAGGCCTGGTCCCGTTTTGGAACCAAGCCTCCTAGGACCGATCCTCTCAAGGACCAGTCTTAGGACTAGGTTTTGG